GGTATACTGTATATAAGACAGTGAATGAGAATATCTCTTTCTAACAGGCCCAACTGGGTAGGTGTATTCTGCCCCGTCCACTTGAGGATGGAGACAGATCCAGTCTCTGAAACGTGGTTTTTGTCTTATGTACAGTATACCAGATGATGGATAGAGTCCAAAATAAGGCTAATAGTTCTCTAATGCAAATATGTGAAGTAAAACTAAGATCTGGCCTGGTACAAGATGCTTCTGAAATGGGCCTTTGTATGTGTGAACCCGTAAAAACAAAAAAATGACACTGGAGAGATGGTAATGAAAATCCGGTTCTCGGTCGCTAAGTTCCACCATATGTAAGATTTGAGGCTTTCACGGCGGTGACTATGAAGAAAGCAGTCTTCTGGGATTTGGCACCGTGTATATGTGGTGTTAACCGACGTTTCGGAGGAACGTATCGCCTCCATCTTCAGGGTAGAAGAAAAANGTAACTTGCTTGTTGGGTGGCATATCTCCATGTGTATGTCCCCTTCTCCCATCCCTACCTACAAATACACTTATCTCTGAATTGAGGGACAGATGTACTGATAAGTCAACCATAAGTTATAAGGAAATTAAAATTTATCAAGATATTATGGAAAGAAGTAAGCACACACATTCCTTTGATACAGCACAGACTATAGAAGGCAAAAAAATTGGGGGGGGAGAGACATACACACACGCCTATGAGGTGATCTCATAGGCGTTCTAAACTAAAAAAATTAAAGACTATACACAGATGGACCAACACAGAAGGATACACCAACAGCAAAATGATATGATATGCCTCCATTTATTTTTTTCAAAATAAGGGAAGTAGGCCAAAATGAATAAGCAGGATGAACGGAAATTTAGTCACCTGACCCTTTTCAGTTCAGTGTTGTAGAGATTAAATTTATAAGCCTTCAGTATAAAACGTTAAATTTTCTGTTGGTCATGAAAATTTGATCTAATTGACTCTTTGTGAGTCTGCAGGTGAACTTCTTAAGTGGTTGTCTTGGTGTATTAGGCTGTGTGTGTTTCTTTTAATAACAATTCAAGCAGAGGTCAAGTTTCAGATTCGCTGCATTGGTGAAATCAAGGTCACAGGACAGGTGCAGTTTGTTCCACATTTCAATGGGGACAGACCAGACCATCTGTTCAAGTCAACATTGATGGGCTTTTGTAGTCTATGAGGGTCACTGAACTCTCCCTGGCAGTTTGTTTCATTTTTATCCTATTTTCTCCCAGTTTTCTGCTGTCTCTGCTATTTCTTTATTTTATATCCTTACTGTCCTCTATGTTTAGTTGAATTTGATGGTAAAGAGAGAGAAGTTTTTTTGTGTCACTGATAAATGTGTTGTGACTTGGTAACTCAAGCCAGAATGGACCATAATGACAGTCTTAAGTCATGATTTTACTTGAAAGCCAAAAGAAAGTTTTGAAAACTTTATTACTGTATAAAATATTCACAGAATTTTTAAGTATATTGCATAGTGCATAATTTTATCTCTGTTAATGTGTTTCATTTTGGTCATTTTTTTATTCTGGTTGATGCTGGGAGGGGAGGCCTATACCAGATGTTGTTACACTGATTTATTTTTGGTTCACATTGATGTGGTATAATTTTTATTTGTGTCATGCCAAAATCAGAATTTGTTTTAATAACAGTAATATTCCCCATTGTTCAAAATATTTGAAGAATGGAATTGCAGATAACCATGGTTTCATGGTTCAGGGATGTGAAAACATAAATATTCTCCATATTGTGGGAACTGCCCACATTCGAGCAATTGTTACAGTGACAATGCAAGTATCATTGCTTAGCAGTGGCGAGTAAACAGGTGTTGCTAGGCAAAGCCTACAACAATACAGACAGTGACATTGTAAGACAGCACTAAATTGGGTCACAAAATCAATCAGGCGAATGACCTGAAAAAAGGCACTTGAACGGAGGGAAACAAAAATAGGTAACGCTGAAGTCACACCTCAGGGTGTATGGTCAGTTGTGAAATCCCTTCTAAAGAGGGATGGACCAAAGGCACCAACTGCTATTCGTGGTGCTGCAGGCCTTAAATTTCACCCATTCAAAAAAGCCAATGCAATTGCTGATTGTTTAGAAATTCAATTCACGCCACACGATCTGTGCGATGATAATCATGAACGGCAGGTGGAGGCTAGAGTTCAGGCTCTGCTCAAAACTGTAGATGACAAACCCCCTCAAAGGATCAGACCATGTGACATACAAAAATTAATAAATTCCTTGAAGTTGAGAGAGGCCTATGGAATTGACGGCATCCCAAATGAATGCCTGAGGCACCTGCCAAGGAGACCATTGGTTCACCTAACTCATTTATTTAATCGTCTTCAGCTCTCTCATTTTCCAAATACTTGGAAGGAAGCAAAAGTAATAACTTTGCCTAAACCCGGTAAAGACCTGAAATTCCTGCAAAATACACGTCCAATCAGCCTCCTGTCCACAACAGGAAAACTATTCGAAAAAGTAATTTTGAAATTACTACAGAAACATATTGAAGAAAGAGGCCTGCTCATCGCAAGCCAGTTTGGTTTTCGTGCATGTCACAGCACGACATTGCAACGTATGAGGCTGGCGGGCCACGTAATCCTTAATTTCAACAACAAAATGTCTACGGCTGCGGTATTCTTGGACATTGAAAAAGCCTTTGATACCACGTGGCACTCAGGCTTGCTGTATAAGTTATCAAAATTGGAATTCTCAAACAGTTTGATCAAGCTTATTGGGTCCTTTCTCAATGTAAATTCAGGGTTTCACTTGAAGGCGAAATGTCAACCTCAAGGGAAATGCAAGCAGAGGTGCCACAAGGTTCAGTCCTCTCCCCTACTCTTTTCAATTTGTACATAAATGATGCCCCCCAAACACATGGTGTTCACCTGGCCCTCTTTGCAGACGACACCTGTCTGTATGCGACAGACCACAAGGAGGGTTTTATTGTTAGAAAACTCCATTGCAGTCTCTGATCAATGGAGACCTGGTGTGAGTGCTGGAATATTAAAATTAATGAAGATAAGACTCAGGGGGTCTACTTCTCTCGTAGCCGTCGACCGCCTGAGTCTTGTCTTACTCAAAATGGATGAAATATTCCATTTGTAAATAGTGCAAAATATCTAGGTGTAATCTTCGATAAGAGAGTTACATGGAGATTGCACATAGAAATGATCGATACCAAGGCCTTCAGAACATTCATTAGAATATATTCCCTATTCAAAAGTGAGCGATTAAGTGCTAACATTAAAATGACCCTCCACAAAGCTCTTATTAGATCCGTAATGACTTATGCTAGTCCCGCCTGGGAATTCACGGCAGACACTCATCTAGTGAAATTGCAGCGCCTGGAAAACAAGGCTCTCCGCACCATTGGCAATTTTCCAAGTTGCACACTGGTCCGCGATTTGCACATGGCATTCAAAATCCCGTATGTATATGACTATATAACAAAATTATGCAGGAAACAAGCAGAAGTCATACAAAATCATGAAAATGAGNTGACCGACCGTCAGTCGCAGTGTGACTTGAACTTGGACTTGGAAGTCTACACTTTTAAGAGTTCTACACTCCTACAATTCTAGTTCAGTGTTGAGTTTCAGTACAACGATCAAGGTGTTACAGAGTTGACTGTTATTATTATTCTTCTTCAATTCTTCAAGCTTAAGTTCATCTGTGTATACTGTGCAGCTATAATAAATATTATAGAACAGTTCAACAAGTGGTTGTCTCTTCATATAACAACATCCCACAGTAGTTTAGAAACATGCGCTTTTTTTAATTCCTTAGTTCATTAGAAATGGAAAATTCTTAAAAAAAAAAGAAAGAAAGAAAGAAAAAAGAAAAAGTGTCTTTAAGTATGTCAAAAGAGAAACCACCCTATATTGATAATTTCTCATTATGAAATTATATTGTAATATATTTAGGTTACTGAAGACGCCGTTCGGATTGTTAATTGGTTTATTTAACAACCTACAAGTCGTAACTACAATTGATTATAACACTGTTGCGGGGCTTCACACTTTATAACCCTATTTGCAATAATCTCTTCACTCTGTCCTCAGTAGTCTACACGTATTCACAGTATGGGAGCTATATAAGTGTCACTGTATTACACACAATTACACGTCCGGTTCTTGTTTCTGCAACTGCAGCTGTACTCCAACTGTGTCACTCCTGATCACACACTTTAACTTGAGAACTCCTGATCACACACTAGCTTGATCACACGCTGTCTTCGGCGGCCGCTACGCATTAACTGCTTTGTAGGCTGCTACACTTTAACTCGTTCACTGCTGACTGACTGCTGGCTAACTCGTAACTAACTGCTGGCTAGATTCCAACTCAACTCGTAGGCTGCTGCCTCGAGAACTGTGTTCGGCGGCTGTGTAGTTCCCTTATAAACCCTCAGCCGGACAATGGGAAAACAGTTATGTAATAGGCACCACTGTTGTCTGGCGCCGTGTTTACAGGCATTACTGGCAACGCAGTCAGGAGTTGTTTACGGCTGCATAGCAACCGCAGTTTACTCGCTTTGCTTAGCAACCAGCGTGCTGGGACTCGGCTCCACTCGGCACGTCACGGCTGGCAGGGAGGGAGGGGTGTCATCCATAATGCAACATGTCACAATATTTTATGAGGGTTGGAAGATTTTAAGTATTTGTGTACATGTATTTGACTGACTTTTCAGTCAGTCACTCGCTTCCTTCACTGAGTATAGACTACAGTAGGTATGGCATCTCTTTTGACCCTCACAACAATTATGGAATTAATTCACATACTTCACTTGCTGCAGGTTAATATTGTACTATAATTTACGCGTTTGTTCCTAGTTTCTCAACGCAGTTTTTGGTATCTGAATATGACGTATGTTACATCTGTAGTTGGAAAACAGAAATGCAATTAAAATTTACTACGATGAAGTTGCTGTTGGTATTATTATTATTTATATGCCATAATTATATATTATTGTATGTTTCAGGTCTCATGTGCACTCCATGCACTCCATGCACCAAATGAGTGACATGATGAACTCCATGTTTTCAAATCCTTTTGGGATGTTTGGAATGGGGCCACCAGCCATTACATCCTCCTTTGGGGATACACGTATGAGTGATAGATCCCGAACAGATCTCATGCCTTTTGGCTTCCCAAACATGAACAGAATGTTTGAGAATATTGTAAGTACTCAGCGTAGTGATCAGGTTATATGTTTCTGTAGCCAGCCCAGTCCCCTTTCCTGTTTCACCCAGGATTTACGGGAGTATGCTGGCTGTGGTATGGAGCATGAAACTTGACAGCTTGTCTCATGCCAGGATGAAGAATGCTTGGAGCTTAACATTCAGACCCTTGTGTATTATACAGATTTGGTTCTTGCACTCAGGATAAACTCATTTCTTACTGTGGTATCAGATTATGGCCTTCAGTGTTGTTCCCCCCCCCCCGAGGTAGCCTTTTGCATTTACTTTTTTTTTTTCTGTGTTTGTGGTTTATGGGTGTTTCTAATAATTCACTGTAATATTTTGTTACCATAATTGTAACACTTTCCCCATTTCTGATATTAAATCTCCTATTATAAGAAGGCTGAGATGTGCTGGTGGTACACAGGAAGATATTTTGAAAATGTGAAGTGAAAAGACCACCTGGTGATATAGGCATAGATGGGAGTATAATATTTAAAGAAGTAGGGTGTGAGGATTGGAGTGGATTCAGGCTAAAGTTTAAATAGTTTCCTTTGTACCCTGTCTCACTGTATCTAAATACAGAATGTCCCAGCAGGAAAGGTCGGTATTCTGGGACGTCATAGTATTGGTCATTCTAAGCAAAAAAAGTGAGGGCCACACCATAGCTCAAGCGGCTAGTCGCTGTCTTCCCACCACTGCGGCCTGGGTTCGATCCCAGGTCTGGTCAAGTGGGATTTGTGGTGGACAAAGTGGCGCTGGGGCAGGTTTTCTCCGAGTACTTTGGTTTCCCCTGCCAATATTCATTCCACCAAATGCTCCACAATCACCCTCACCTATCATCTGGGGCTGGCACAATAGTCCAGAAGTGGCCGCAGTACAAGGGACTTAGTCCCACCCCACTGGCAATTAAAAAAAAAACAAAAACAAAAAAGTGTATAAATGGTTTCCAAGACAGAGCTATTTCACTGTACAGTAGTTTGGATTTGGTGCCCAATATTGTCCTTTCCTCCTGCCATACCATGCCACTGTCCAAAGCAGGTGAGTCAGCGTCAGTTGGCTGTTGTGACTGTTGATACTGATAATGTAGGAGTGTTCAGAGAAAGCAACACTTCTTCACAAATGCTGAGTATGCTGATATGCTGTGCATTTACAGCTTCTATGATGGTAATGCGACTGCTGCTGTTGAAGAATACCGTTGACAGTTTTCTGTGTGCAGAATTCGGAATTATACAATGTTTTCCAAGGTGTTCAATACATTTTGTGAACTTCATACACTTCCCAGTGCTCATGTTTCATTTGAACGAGCATATGAACAACATGTAGAGGAACAGGAAAAGACTCTTGGGATCACACATTGTAGGCCTACTACTGGCATGAGAAAACTTTCTACATATCTCAATGTTTGATGGACACATGTATGGTGAACATTGCGTGATAATTTTAGAACTGTGCATAGAAATAGCTGTATTATGGAAACTGTTCGGGATAGAACATGTGTGCATGCACAGATTTTTGCTTAGAACAACCGATACTGTGACCTTTCCTCCTGGAACGTTGTATTTGGAATGTTGGCCTATTTATTTTTTCCTTTGTTATATGTATATAATTTATAATAACTTAGTTACCTTTTAATTTATTATAGAAGCGTTTGTTATTCTAAATTAGGTTTTTATCTTCCATGTTATCTAACTTAATGAAACCGGTGTATAAATATTCCATCATATACTCTTTGTGTATTACCCATTTGCTTGTTAATGTGCCGTCTGAAAATTTTACATTCTATGGCAGCTCTTATTATTACACAGAAATATAAAGTTAGCATAGAATTAAAACAAAAATATTGTTTGTAATCAGTATGGAATTGTTTTCTTGTAGGACCGGATTGGAAATCCTGGTGGCCACTCTTTCAGCAGCAGCACAGTGATGACCATGACAAGTGGGCCTGATGGAAGACCACAGGTATGTGCTGCCTTTCGTTAAAGAAGAATTTTAGAAAGAAAAGTACGTACTAAATTTATTGTTTGCAATTGTGTGTGTTTCCATCGGCACAACTTCTGTATTGGCCAATGTTAGGAGTGAGCAGTTGAGCCAGTAGTGATTGTGCATATCTGGTGATGACCAGAAAGCCAGGACACATAGTAGACAAATACAGCAGAAATGAATACAATTGGAATTACAACATAATGTAACAGCATGATGCTGTATTTATTATTGCCATATTAACTTTGATAATATATTAAATTCTCGGAAGATTTATTGCCATGTGTCAGACTGCTAAGTGAACTGTTTCCACATTTTTACAGCTTCAGTTAACATAATCATATTTGGTCCCTAAATTATTCTCTATAATTCATGAAATTGTTTTGCTAATGGTGTGAATATATAATTTTATAATGCATTTTGACTGACTGACTGATGCGTACTGCCATCTTTGTGATTACATCCGTTATATTTCTGTCAAATAGAATATTGTCTGTGATAACACTGATAACAAAATGACAGGTTGTGGATTACACAGAGAGAGTCTTGGTCCTGTCACATGTGTTGGGTATTTTTCTTTTCTTGCCATGTCAAAAATGGCTTTGAAGCCTACCAATTCTCTTATATGTAGTGGGTTACAGGCACCATTTTGCTGGGCATGGAACTTGCATGCGTGTATATTGCCAAGGAAATGCATGAAGCTTCCACTCCGATTTCCACTTTATAATTAAACGTCTATGTATCGACAGTCCATCAATAGTGCAACAATTGTTTATTCACCATTTAACACTTAACACAACATGTTTCGGCCATAGATGGTCATCTTCAGGTTTCTTAATGTGTCCAAACTGTTACACTGCTCTGATGTGCACTAAAACCGTGCATTGCAGCTCACTTAAAATATAAATAAATAATTAAAATTTTCTATTACTTTTTTTTTTTGTAAAATCTTTTTTATTAAAATGTTATTAGAATTGTGTTATATTATTTATATTTTAAGTGGACTGCAACGTGTGGTTTTAGCGCACAACAAAGTAGTGTAACAGTTTGGATGCATTAGGACACCTGAAGATGGCAATCTACGAGTATAGCTGAAACATGATGTGTTAAGTGTTAAATGATGAATAAACAATTGTTGCATTATTGACTGATGGACTGTGGATACACAGACGTTTAATTAAAGATTTGCAACAAGATGCTGAAATCTAGAATTCCACTTTATAAGGTGGTGCAAAGGCACTAGAATATCTTTCATTCCATGCTAGGTATACCAAGCTTCATCATCAACAAGGACAGCTCCAGGAGGCGTGAAGGAAACTAAGAAGAGTGTATGTGACTCACGTTCTGGCATGAAGAAGATAGCTATTGGTCATCACATTGGTGAGAGAGCACATGTACTGGAACGTGAGCAAAACTTGCATTCCGGAGAGCGTGAGGAACGCCAGGAGTTTATCAATCTTGAGGAAGGTGAGCTGTGATCATTAAAAATATTATCTGTTGATACAGCCAGTTCATTTTGTGCCAGTGAAGTGTAGGTAGAAGCACAGATTTATTATTTCAGCTTTTGCATATTTATGATCGCAGGGCTAGCAGAGATTTAAATATTTAAATAAAACAACTTTAATTTGTTACGGCTCTGTGCTTATAATGTAGTTTTAATGTCAGTCAGGTTTAATGATGCTTATATATTGGTGCCACAATTATTTTTTGTAATTAACCTATGAATTTTATTGTCCTTATCTTACCCATTTGGTGCAGACAGACAGACACACACCAGCCATGTGGCTGCCTTGTTTGAATGTGTTGATTTTTTATATAAAATGAGTCTGTTAATGTAGGAACTACTTTGTTAACACATTAAAGAATTCTCAGTTTGGAAGTTGCTGTCAGGCATTGAGTTTCTTAATGACTTTTTCGTATTTAAATAGAGGAAGCAGAAGAATTCAACAGGGAATTTGAGCAAAGGACCAGGCAGTCACTGGGCGCAATTGGTTATTCCTCCCCTAATTCTTCAAGTAGACATGGCAGACGTCACCGTGAACCCCAACTGGCATTGCCTGCATCGTCCTCCAGGTAAGTGTGGAATTGTATAGTATTCCAAGGTGCAATTTGGTCTTGTTTACTTCCAAACAGGTAGGTAATTACAGCTGTCTAGTGTCAGAATATCCCAGCACGTTAATTTTTTTTCTTAATTACTGGGTAGTATGACTTAACTGCATGACATAATTTTTCCTGTAAATTATTTTCACATTATTGGTGTAGTTATTTCTGGTATTTCACCTTATATGAGTTTGTTGAAACTTTGATGTTAGTATTATTGTTTAACAAGAACTTAGTGTATTTCTAGCCTTTTTTACATTGATAGTATTTTAGTATTTACTAATCCATAAACCCAAGGCCGCGCCATAGTTCAAGTGGTTAGTCGCTGGCTTCCCGTCGCAGCAGCCCGGGTCTGATCCCAGGTCTGGTCAAGTGGGATTTGTGGTGGACAAAGTGGCACTGGGGCAGATTTTCTCCGAGTACTTCGGTTTCCCCTGCCAATATTCATTCCACCAATTGCTCCACAATCACCCTCGTCTATCATCTGGGGCTGGTACAATAGGCCAGAAGTGGCCACAGTACAAGGGACTTAGTCCCACCCCACTAGCAATAAAAAAATCCATAAACCCTCACATATACCCAGGATGACACTCAAAAAACCCATGGGCCAATATTCTAAGGTGGTTTTCCTGATGTTTGTTCACCATTACTGTAGAAATGTGATATTAGCTTCTGTTCACTATGTCAAAAACTATGATAATAGCTTTAGTTTTGCCAATTTCATTTTGACTCATGTACAAAGCCTACAGTATTTCCTCCCACAGTTCTGGGTGTGTCAGGAGACCAACAAAACTTTATAAGAACCTGATGAACAGCATTCTAATCTTAGAAGTATGTGTGTTATGTCTAGAATTAGATGAATAACTTCAGATATTCTTAAAATTGTTTTAAGTTTTTATGTAATCAGGTATTTCAGGCTTGCTTTAAAATTGTAATCCATTTTTGTGGTATTAATACATTTTAATGCAAATTTCATATCCTGCTTTTAGTGATGCAGGTATGGAAATTGGGTGCATTCTGGGTGGGATACACTGTAATGAAGGAAGAAAAATAACATGCAACTAGATCCATTGCCAGTACCATTGCCAAATTATCATCAAAAGTCTGTGCTGAGAACAGAAACACTTTAAGACATTTTAGAGTCCTTTTTTAGCAGTTTGCTGAAGAAAAAGAGGAAACAGCTGTCAATATTTCCAGCAAGACTTCACCAGCCCACATTGCATAATAATTGTTTGGCCTCTGCAGGCTGTGTACAGTGAACATGTTATTAGTAGAGGCTAATGTGAGGAGGTTTTCATCATGGCCATGAGTAATTACAGATGAATTAGTTAAAAAGGACTTTAATGAGTCATTGAGGAATGTATGTGAATATTGCAAAAAATCTTTTCCATTAGCTGCTTTAGTCACATAAAGTATGATGGTATCACTCACAGCATTTTAAACTTCGTTCAGTACCTGTGGTAGAATGTATATCCTTTTGAATGACCACCTGTACATTGGCTCTGTGGTCTAGTGGTCAGAGTTCCTGGCTACAGATCCAGAAGTCTGGGTTCAATTCTCGGCGCTACCAGATTTTTTTCTGAAAAGTAGTGGGTCTGGAACTGGGTCCGCTCAGCCTCATGATGATAATTGAGGAGCTATTTCAAGGAAATGGAGGCTCTGGTCTAGAAAACCGAAATTAATGACCAGGGGGATTCGTTGCACTTACCACGCAACATCTTCTGTCCACAGAAGTTCACGGACAAGCAGCGGTAGCTCGGTTGGTATAGTTCACTTGCAGACTAAACCCACAGAGTTTGTTTTTGTATTGCAAATGATGGTGTGTCATATATGTATACAGTTTTGTGTGATGGAAATACATTGACATTCACCACAGTAAATAGCTGCTAACAAATTAATTGTGGATTTTGCTTTGCATGAACTGTTTATCATGAGAACTGAATTGACACGAATCTGGTGTTGTAGCAGGTAGATGAAACAGGACAGGTCTAAGAAAACTTCATCCACTGTGCAGTTCTGATTGTTTCCTGTTCCTTTTGTTTGTAATACAAGGGAAACTAAGGATAGGTGGCTGTAGTAGAGAGAGGTCAGTAATTATAAAATATAACTTAAACATTGCTGGAAGCATCAGACAACATATATACTCATTTCTCAAGAAAGCAGGGAAATTACACTGGAATTATTTCATTTTTTCTTAGTAGAAGTTGAAGTTTTCCTGCCATTTTATTTTAATTTTGCTCTTCTGCTATTACAGCTGTGGTACAAAAAGTAGTATGCATCTTGTAAGATTCTGTTTACCTCACACAAGAAAAACAAATTGAGAGCCATTTCTTAAGTTCCATTTCTTCCCATTCTGAAGATGTTTTAAATTGCAGAGTGTATCTTCATAAACACTGTTGTTAACTTATGCTAAGTCCACATGTTATAGCAAATTAACAACATAATTTTACAACTAAGAAATTTAATTATTGAAGGATAGTTTTATTTTACATTTTACTTTGGATTTTAATTGTATTACATCAGTGAATAGCTAGTTCAGTTTATTTCACTTAAAGCACAGCAATCAGGGGACCAATCATTTTTTAATTTTATGATTGATTGTAATGTAGCAGGAATTGTCTGCAGGAAGGTACTGTGTTCTACCATCATTTGAGCTGCAGCTTGGTTTTATATATATAATATTAGTTGTGTTGTGCTTCTCTTGTTCTGGCTGACTTTGTAATAGCAAGATGCAGATTTCAGAGTTCATTTAAGCTGTTTTGCTATTCTGAAAATTGTGTGAAGCATGCAGAACTTATTGATTTAAAAAGTAATTGTCCGTACACCACAAAAACTATCAAGCTGTGAAGACGTAAATTGCATATTGTAGCAGTTGGGATCACCATTTTAACTGTCTCAGCAGCTAATCCAGGTTTGAGGGACAGGATTAATTTTCACCAATTAAATTGTATTGGCTTATAATGTAAAATATCTTCATATACTTATGTATCTGCATCACAGTGACTTCTTTGCATGATTTCTTTGAATGAATGGATTTATTTTCTATTTTTCTCAGTCCCTCCCCAACCTGAATTTCTTACGTAATCACTCGAGCAGTTTGATTTTGTTTTACGTAGCTCTCGTCTTAGATCACGAAGTTATTTACCATCATCGTGTGATCGCAGAAGTCATCGATCTTCACCAGTTCCTTTGAGGTAAGAATTGGACTGTGCAAGCCAAAGTGACAAATGGTGACATAATTCCGTTGCTTCAGTTCTGAATAAATAACCCATTTCAAGTCGAACAATTCTTCAGGCACCCTTAATATAGGCTGGATGTAATGCTTTCATACTATTATAGATTTAACTTGCACTTACCCCAGCAAACTAATTCCAGACTAATTCTTAGCTGTTTATGTAATTTCAGGCAGTAAGCACTTGCTTTATAATGTTATTTCACTGCTTTCCTAACAGTTTAGTTGAAAGGTACTTAGATAACATACATATTTTCTGTCTGAATTAGTGATCACTGAAACACTGTGTTGTGTGCTTAGCCTTTCAGTAGTGTTTATGGCATTTAAATATGACTTGTTAGCTTCATAAAAACTCTTGATTATTGGAATTTTTTAGTTAAGTATGACTGTTGACTGGAGATGGATATTTACATTTTAAAGTAGAAAAGTGCAGCATTTTACATAAATCATCCATAGGCCCAGATTGATGTAGTGATTTTTCATCATGTTATGTTTAAAGTACTGACACAAGGTATGTACTGACTTGTAAATGTCTTGGAGGCATGATATGGATGTTTTGAGTGGCTCACTACATCTTGGAGACTTAATTGACATTAGATTGAATTAGTGTCAGAAGAATAGTTACAAGAAAATAATTGAAAGTTACAGCTGAGCTTGGTGCTACACGGTTGTTAGATGGTGTTGAAATGTTAAAACATGTTTTTTTCTCTGAGCCCTTGATTTTTCCTGTGCCAGTCATTCTACCAGTGCTCAAGTTGAGAAGATGTTGAAAAAAAGTGCTGCGTGTCATTGTTCCTGCACATAAATCAGAATTTCAGCTAAAAACCAAACTATTTTGAATGATAGGATCTCTGTGACATGTGATTTATACTTACATATATGTGAGATGCTTCATAGTAGACCCACCATTTTTTTAAACTGTAGTACATTTTGGATATAACACCATGAAGTCTGGTAGAATTTTACTGACATTTCAGAAGAAAATCCTGTCACCATTTTCAGGGTCAAAGCTTGACACCTGCTGCTTGCTGACTACTTGCTTGGTCCACTGTTTGACCCTGAAGATGCTGGCAGGATGTTTGTATGAAACAGCAGCAAAATTCTACCAAACTATGTGGAATTAATCACAGAAGATGGCACTCTTCGCAGGTGGTGATGTTAGGACGTCAAATCCAGTATTACAATACGTTGATTTCTTTTTATAGCATAGGAACAGATCTGAGTAGCTTTTTTATTACACTCAACTCTCGACTATCTGGGGGCGGATAAACCGGTTTGCGGCTTAACCGGGGCTACTGAGGCTTTTTTGAGGCTTATATGTTGTTTAATATTCATTCACTTTTGTTTCACATGGTGAGTTGTAACACTATTTTCGCACTAGTGTGAACCGAGCTCTACATTTTTTGGTCCCATTATGCTAACACAATGTTCTAGGGTAGGGGTGAAAGAATGCAAGGATTTGTGGAAAGTTTCAAGGACAGATACACCACCCCAGTTAGTCTCTTTGTATCGATCTTCCAGTGCGTTAGCAAAATGTCAGGGTGTAAAAGGAAGCGTGTTGTGTTAAGTATTCAACAGAAACTTGAAATTATCAATCAGGTGGGAAAAAGAGGTGTAGTTAAACAATTAGCAATGCAATACAGTATTGGAGAACAAACTGTTCGTGATTTAAAAAAATAAAAGAATCAATTAATCCATGGATTCACTGGATTCAGCGAAAATGAGATAGCCACAGAATTGACAAAATTGGCTAACCAAGTTCATGGTGGTGAAGAAGTCAACGAGGAAAATATAAGAGAGTCGTTTGACTGTGACTCGTGTGAGCCGGTCTTCGAAATGTTAAGCCGGGTCCAGACTTGTTGCGTATCCCTGTATCGTATCTCCGTTGCGTATCGTCCGATGCAACGCGACAAAATTTTGCGTCCAGACTTGTTGCGTATCTCCACTCCATTCAGAGTATACAAGGTGTGGCAATAAAGAAACCGGATTCATGCTCTAACCCTTTATTAAAAAAAATCAGACAGTCGAAATGTTATCCCCTTCAATGTAGTCCCCTTCCCGATCCCTACACCGCTCCATGCGAATTTTCCACTGTTGGAAGCAGTGCTGCAGGTCATCTTGTGTTATGCTCTTCAAGAGTTGCGTCACTTTTGCTTTCACTGCATCCACGGACTCGAACCTGGTCCCTTTCAGCGCAGACTTGATTTTTGGGAAGAGAAAAAAGTCGCACGGTGCTAGGTCCGGAGAATACGGTGGATGTTCCATCACTGGAATGTTGTTTTTTGCCAAATACCTCTTCACAGATA